ATTTATTTATTTTTATCTCAGCTCCTCCCCTTCACCCGGGATTTCCAGGGGGTTTACCAAAAATTTTTCCAATCAAGGGGGGCGCTAAACCCGTAGGATTATACAGCGCCTGTTGGGGGGGAGGGAAAGGTTTTTCAGGGGGTTAATTCTGGGAAAATGGAAAACAAAATCAAATTCCCTAGTCAAGGGGCCCCTCACTAGCATCAAGAAACCTTTTGAGGGGACAGAATGCGAAATAGGTTAATCCAAAGGGAGGGGGGGGAGTTGCGCCCCCTTTCTTGGATCACGAGCTTATCAATAGCATCAAGGCGTACTCTTTAAGGCTAATTTAAAAAGTTTTCCCCCTGTTTCAGGTGCAAAAAACCATTTTTTTTAACATTAAAAAAACGGCAAAAAAGGCCCGGTGACCAGTGGGTTTTTAAACATCTTTAAAAATTTCCCGTTAAAAAAAAAAAGCAAAAATACAAAAGCTGGGCAGCCGAAACAGCAGCAAAGTATGTTTATTTAGGCACTGGTACACATAAAAAAAAAATTTTCGTACATAGTTTAAAATTTTGTGTAAATTACCCAGGTAACCCCCAAAAAAAAATTTGGGAAAAGGGTATTTTCACTGGGTTTCCCTTTATATGGCCCATTAAAATTACGTTTTAAACCCAACGTTTTTAAATAAATTTATCTCCACATCACTTTGACCCTTTTCCTCCACCCCCCCAACCCTCATCTGCTGAAGAAAATAGTGGGGAAAAAGTTGAATAATTGCGAAAAAGGGAGGCAAAAAGGTGGCCTTTTCAACCCCGGGCCCTGTTGATTGGACAGAGGGCGGGCACCACAAAATTTTGTCTTGTCATTTTTATTACTTCCTTAAAATAAATTTGACTAAAATTCACTAGCAGTTACTTGCTCTTTTATATCACGCTTTTTTTTCTGCGTGTCATTTATATATTTTCTGCAAACTTTTTTTTTAAGTTTTTTTACCCCCCCCCCCAAGATGTAGCCGGGGAGCCCCAGTGGACAGAGCCTTTAAATCGGGATGTTTTAAAGCAAGCAAACAACAACTAGAAGCAAATAGGCAATAATCAATTAAGGGAGATAAGAAACGTTAAAAAAAGGGGAGCAAAAAGCAAGCAAAAAAGCACGCGACAAGCAAGCACACAATAAAACCCGCAAAAACCCTGCCCAAAAAGCCCGCAAATAACAAACAATAAAAACCCAAGGGAGAAAAAAAACCGTGAACCCAAACAAGAAAAAAAGCGCAAGCACGCATGAAGCATTGGGAACTACAAACCAAAAAAACAAGCAATAAACAGAAAATTAAACCCAAAAAAAGCAGTTTCCTGAAGAATACCCCGGGGGTGGGTTTTGGGGGGCAAAACCCCCCCGGGGCCCCGGGCCATTGGCCCGGTTTGCGGTTTGGGTCAGGGGGCCCGGTCAACTTGGGTGTTAAATTTTGGCCGCACGCACGAACAACCACCCGCCTGGCTAGGGCAGGTACTGGGCTTTAGGGTGGGCCCGTCCCCGCTCCCTCTTGAAGACAAATAGGAAATTATTGGTAATCCCCCTTATGTTTTGTGGGAGGCCGTTGGGAACCCTTTCGGGCCCCTGACACCCTTTTTGTGTTATCTCTTGAAATACTCATGGTTTTGTAGGGAGTGATTTCTGTACGTAAATTTGGGGGTAATCCCTCTTAAGATTTTTTCCCAAATGTATGTTTTCATGTTTTCTTCCTTTGGGTTTTCGTTCACAGGGTCAGGTCTGGATTACAACTGTTACCCCGTTAAATTAGAATTTTTTTTGGGACTTATACGTGCAGTTGAAATTCTCTGTTTTATTCTTTTGGGGTCTTTCAGTTTTGCCTGGTTTGAAAGGGGGCGTTGTGTACAGCCCAAAATCCAGCCTAGTTATTATTAATTTTAATCAAAAAAAAAAAAAAGCCCCTAACCACACTCCAGCCTAGAAGGGAAAAAAGCAATTTTAAAAGAATTTTTCAATTTGGGTTTGGGATTCCCCAGTTTTGAAGGTTTCATTATCCCCTCCCTCATTTTCCTATTGTAATTTTTTTTGAAAGCGAGATTCTCTGACATTATCACTCCCCGATTTCACGTTAGTTTTTTTACTCTTTTTGTAGGTTGGGAAATTTTTATCCCCGATCCTTTTTTTTTCCTCGAGTTTTCCCCTAGTGGAGTTTAATTTAAAATTTTTCTTTAAATTCTATTTTCTGGGCTTTTTATAAAGACTTGGTTAATGTTCCCCTTGGGGATTTGTAGTGTCCCCATTTGATGACTGTTTTTATGCAAAATTTGGGGATCGTCAGCAAAGGACACGGTGTTGGTGGCTTCCAAGTCTATCAAAGGGCAGATATGGGTTGAGGGAAAAAGGGAAAGGGGCAAGTACTGTATCTTGTGTAAAAAGTCTTCAATTTTAGCCGTCTCTGGGCTTTTCTCTGTTTATTATTTTTATAATAAAAAAGAAGCGCTAAACCACAAGGGTTATACAGCGCTGCAGGGTAGGGGGGAAGCGAGGGTTTTTACTATTACTCTTTGTGTTCTATTTGTTTTAAAAAGTTTAGATCCATTAATCACTTTCCTGTTATTTCTTTATCACACATTTTTGTGCTATTAGACCATGATAGCACTTGTCGAAAACTTTCCACGTCTTTTGCATACTTCATCTGCCTTTTTTTTTTGTCCTCCAGGCATCCAAAATCATGTAGTGTGGTCCAGTAGGGGTTTTGAGAGGGAGGAGCGACCCGTTTCAAAACCCCTGTTGCCCCTTTTTGTGCAGTGCTGGGTGAAAACCAAAATAGTTGGCAATCTTGCCTCTTAGAACCCCCTTTTAAAAAGTTTTATGATTTTAGGAACGTTATTTTTATCGGTTTGGTTTAAATTTTTCAAATTAAATTTCTGTGTTAATCAAGAACTGCAAAAAGCCCCTTTCACGTGCCTTAAGTATTCTATGGAGAGGAAGCATGGACACGGGGGTCATCCCACATTCACTAAAAACAACAGTCTTACTCCACAAAGGTGGCAGTAAAGCAATTAATTGTAAAGAATTACAAACCGATAACACTAACGTTCCTCATCATAAAACTCTTTGAAAGGGTTCTAAGAGGCAAGATTGCCAACTACTTGGATACACCCAGCAGCTGCACAACCAAGGGCAACACGGGTTTAGAACAGGTCGCTCCTGCCTCTCACAACTACTGGACCACACTGACATGATCTTGGATGCGCTGGAGGACAAACAAAAGGCAGATGTAGTATGCAAAGACTGTGCGAAAGCTTTCGACAAGTGCTATCATGGTCTAATAGCACACAAAATGTGTGATAAAGAAATAACAGGAAAAGTGAGTAGATGGATCTATAACTTCTTAACAAATAGAACACAAAGAGTAATAGTATACCCTCGCTTCCTTCCCTACCCTGCAGCGCTGTATAACCCTTGTGGTTTAGCGCTTCTTTTTTATTATAATAATAATATACAGAGTAAAGTCAGAGACGGCTACAGTGAAGAGCTGTTACACAAGATACAGTACTTGCTCCTTTCCTTTTCCTCAACCTCATATCTGACATAGATAGACATGGAAGCCACAGCACCGTGTCCTTTGCTGACGATACCAGAATTTGCATGACAGTGTCATCAAATGAGGACACTACAAATCTCCAAGCGGACATTAACCAAGTCTTTATATGAGCCTCAGAAAATATGAAGTTAGACAATTTTCAATTACTCCACTACGGAAAACTCGAGGAAATAAACAATGGATCAGGGTATACAAATTCCAACCGTACAATAGAGTGAAAAACTAACGTGAAGGATCTGGGAGTGATAATGTCAGAGAATCTCGCTTTCAAAGATTACAATAGGAAAATGATGGGATGGATAATGAGAACCTTCAAAACTAGGGATACCAAGCCAATGATGATTCTTTTCAAATTGCTTGTTCTCTCTAGGCTGGAGTGTGGCTTAGCGCTTCTTTTTGATTATAATAATAATAATCTAGGCTGGAGTATTGCTGTACACTAACGACCCCTTTCAAAGCAGGCAAAACTGCAGACCCGAAGAATATACAGAGAATTTTCACTGCACGTATAAGTACAATAAAACTTCTAAGTTACTGGTAACAGTTGTAATCCATTGACCTGTACTCCTGTGAACGTAAACGAGGAAGATACATGATAACATACACTTGGAAAATCTTAAGAGGGATTAGTCCCAAATTTACGTACAGAAATCACTCCCTACGAAAGCCATGAGTATGTCAAGAGATAACACAATAAGTGTCAGGGGCCCGAGATTGTTCAACTGCCTCCCAGCACACATAAGGGGGATTACCAATAGACTCCTAGTTGTCTTCAAGAGGGAGCTGGACAGGCACCTAAAGTCAGTACCTGACTAGCCAGGCTGTGGTTCGTTCGTGCGTGCGGCCAGCAGTAACAGCCTAGTTGACCAGGCCCTGATCCACCGCGAGGCCTGGTCATGGACCGGGCCGCGGGGGTGTTGACCCCAAAACACCCTCCAGGTATACTTCAGGTATCTGCTTGTTGGTTAATTTCTGCTTATTTGCTTGTTTGTTGGTTGTATGTTGCATGCTTCATGCGTGCTTGCTGCTTGTTTGCTTGCTTGTTCACTTGTTGCTTTTCTGCTTGGTTTATTGTTGCTTATTTGCTGGCTTGTTGCATGCTTGTTTGCTAGGTTATTGTGTGCTTGCTTGTCGCGTGCTTGTTTGCTTGCTTGTTGCTCTCCTGTTTACTTGTTTCTTATCTGCTTAATTGATTATTGCCTATTTGCTTCTAGTTGCTTGTTTGCTTGCTTTCAACATGCGAGTTAAGCTCTGTCCACTGAGCTACGGGCTACATCTTGTGGGGGGGGGGTAAAAAACATTAAAAAAAAAGTTGCAGAAAATATATAAATGACACGCAGTAAAAAAAGCGTGATATAAAAGAGCAAGTACTGCTAGTGTATATAGTCAAATTTATTTTAAGTGAAGTAATAATAATGACAAGACAATAGTTGTGGTGTCGTCTGCTGTCCAGCATCAACATGGCCGGGTGCAAGGCCACCTTCTGCCTCCTCATTTTCGCAATTATTTCACGTTTTCCACTATTTTCTTCAGCAGATGAGGTGTTGGGGTGTGGAGGATATGTCAGAAGTGATGTGGAGATCAATTACTCTAACGTTGGGATTAAACTGTAAGTTTAATAGCCATAGTCAAGGATCCCAGTGAAAATAGTCTCTTCGACCTTTTTTGGGGGTTATCCTGGGTAATTTACACGTAATTTACTATGTACGATAATTTTTTTTATGTGTACCAGTGCCTAAATAAACATACATTAGTCTGCTGCTTCGGTCTGCTCTCAGCATTTGTATTTTGCATTTTTTTTAACTGGCAAATTTAGATGTGTTACAAACACTGGTCACTCTGGTCTATTTGACGTTGTTTATGTTAAAATAATGGTTTGTTGCACCTGAAACAGGAGAAAAGCATTTTATTAGCCTTCAAGAGTAGCGCCTTGATGCTAGTGATAGAGCTCGTGATCCAAGAAAGTGGCGCAACTCTCCCCTGCCTTGGATTAAACCTGACTTCGTCATTCTGTCCCCTCAAAGAAGGTTTCTTGATGCTAGTGAGGGGCTCTTGATCTAGGGAACTGGATCTGTGCTCCAGTTCCCTGAATTAAGCCTGAATACCTTCCATACCCCCCACAGGCGCTGTATAATCCTACGGGTTTAGCGCTCCCCTTGATTGGAATAATTTGTCATTCTGGAAGATGCCGGTGAAGGGGAGGAGCTGAGATAAGATAAATAAATCTTGATCCAAAGAATGGCATTACCCTCTCTTCGATTGAATTTAATTCCTGTTCCCAGGCATAATAACCCCTGCGAGTTTAGTGTTTCCCCCTTAAATTAAAGTAAATGTAGGTGCTGTGTGACACACTACAGGTTAGTACTTCCTGATGATTGGATTTCACTGTTGATGTGGTTAATTTGTTATGCACCCCATAGCCACCCTGTGAATGGTAAGCATAGGCCTATTAAAAGGGTTAAGAGAAGTATGTCTGGTTATATATTTACAATTTATATTTCATCTGGTAAGGTAAGTTTCAGTTTTAATGTGAGAAGGATCCAGCCATCACCAGTCCCTGTAATGATGGATTCAATGGAAATCGAGGACCCCAATAAAAATAAGTTACTTTGACTTTTTGGGGAGTTATGCTAGGTAATTTACACCATGTATGATAATTATACTTATGTGTACCTGTATCTAAATAAACTTATTTATCCAGTTTTAGTGCTTAACATAAAGTACAGCTGTATGATCCTTGTGGGTTTAGCGGCTTAGCACCTGAAGTCAGTACCTGACCAACTGGGCTGTGATTCATACTTTGGTTTGTGCGGCCAGCATTAACAGCCTGGTTGATCAGGCTCTGATCCACCATGAGGCCTGGTCATGGACTGGGCCTTGGGGGCATTGACCCTCGGTACACCTTCCAGGTATACCCCAGGTAATACATAAAGTATAAAACATCATTATATGGAATTTGTAAGTACAGTACGTTTGAGTGAGATAAGGGGCTGTTCTGGTACATATAAGTGTAATTAAGGTCTGCTCTCTGTTTGATCCACCCTTATTTTTGTCAAAATAAAAGTACCGTGCAGTATAGATAGCAATGTATGTAAGTTTTAGTTTAAAATTGAGATTCATAATTTTTTAAGATTTTCTTACCTGTGTCTTGTCTATTTTTGCATCATGTTTAGTTTCATGTGATGATTCACAAAGTTGTTACTTTTAAAATTGTATTTTGTACTATAACAACAAATAATTTTGAATATTTGAATTGTTTCAGATACACGAAACAAGGTAACTTAAAATATGAAACAGAATGCGCACCCAACAATGGTTATTACTTCATGCCATTATACGACAAGGGTCACTATATATTAAAGGTAAGGGCTTATTTATTTTATAGGTGTGTAAATTGTTTTTTGTTATAGGTGAGGGGGCTCTTGATCCAAGGAATTAGACTTAATCCTTTCCTTCCTTAGATCAAACTTGATTGCTTCCCATTTCCCAGGCGATGCTCTCCGCAAAATATGGTATAATAGTAATACAGTAGTGTGTATATTGTTTTGCTTTAAGACAGAAAATGTATGAAATACCTTCTCATTTTGTAAAATTTGTCCAATTTATATCAGATGCCATTATTGAGTGCTGTATGACCCTTGTAGGTTTAGCACTTCATTTTTTATTATAATAAAAATAATGCCATTATTGAGCACTTAAAATAACACTTAAAATTAGATACTTCAAAAAATTGTGCCTCCATATAGAAATACACTGCAATAAAGTTGTTCTAGTTTTTGCATTACCTAACAGGTCTCCCCTCCACCTGGCTGGAGTTTTGAACCCAAAGAAGTGTCTTTGATTATTAATGGAGAAACTGACCCTTGCAGCCTGGGACAAGACATAAATTTTCACTTTAAAGGTTTTGCAGTCATTGGCAAGGTTAGTATGATATAACTGTTTAAGTTGTGGCATTGGTAGAATTTGATATTAAGTAGCATAGTGCTAAATATGTAACTAATAGCTCAGGACATATTAGATTTTGACATTGTGGGGAAGGTCTGGGAACTTGACTCACTACATTACCATCATATTCTAATTGTTGGTATCCACTTTATTTTACACTTTTCTATATGCAGTATAGCAGATGTATTGTATACCAATAGAAATTGGTATACATACAAATGAATGATCATGTGTAGGTCTTTATTCACTTTATTTCTTCTTTAAAGCTCCTTGGGCAGCTTTAAAAATAGACAGTGCATATCCTGGAATGATTAGTATCAAAACTATAGGATTTGCCTTGCATGGGAAATTAGGCTTACTTCAGTGCTCTATTCTCTTGATGCTAAACATATAAACATTAATAAACATTACTGAAAGCAGTGAAGAGTTTTTACGAGGATAGTGAGGCTCAAGTTAGAGTATGTAGGAAAGAGGGAAATTTTTTCCCAGTAAAAGTAGGCCTTAGACAAGGATGTGTGATGTCACCGTGGTTGTTTAATATATTTATAGATGGGGTTGTAAGAGAAGTAAACGCGAGGGTCTTGGCAAGAGGCGTGGAGTTAAAAGATAAAGAATCACACACAAAGTGGGAGTTGTCACAGCTGCTCTTTGCTGATGACACTGTGCTCTTGGGAGATTCTGAAGAGAAGTTGCAGAGATTGGTGGATGAATTTGGTAGGGTGTGCAAAAGAAGAAAATTAAAGGTGAATACAGGAAAGAGTAAGGTTATGAGGATAACAAAAAGATTAGGTGATGAAAGATTGGATATCAGATTGGAGGGAGAGAGTATGGAGGAGGTGAACGTATTCAGATATTTGGGAGTGGACGTGTCGGCGGATGGGTCTATGAAAGATGAGGTGAATCATAGAATTGATGAGGGAAAAAGAGTGAGTGGTGCACTTAGGAGTCTGTGGAGACAAAGAACTTTGTCCTTGGAGGCAAAGAGGGGAATGTATGAGAGTATAGTTTTACCAACGTCTTATATGGGTGTGAAGCGTGGGTGATGAATGTTGCAGCGAGGAGAAGGCTGGAGGCAGTGGAGATGTCATGTCTAAGGGCAATGTGTGGTGTGAATATAATGCAGAGAATTCGTAGTTTGGAAGTTAGGAGGAGGTGCGGGATTACCAAAACTGTTGTCCAGGGGCTGAGGAAGGGTTGTTGAGGTGGTTTGGACATGTAGAGAGAATGGAGCGAAACAGAATGACTTCAAGAGTGTATCAGTCTGTAGTGGAAGGAAGGCGGGGTAGGGTCGGCCTAGGAAAGGTTGGAGGGAGGGGGTAAAGGAGGTTTTGTGTGCGAGGGGCTTGGACTTCCAGCAGGCATGCGTGAGCGTGTTGGATAGGAGTGAATGGAGACAAATGGTTTTTAATACTTGACGTGCTGTTGGAGTGTGAGCAAAGTAACATTTATGAAGGGATTCAGGGAAACCGGCATGCCGGACTTGAGTCCTGGAGATGGGAAGTACAGTGCCTGCACTCTGAAAGAGGGGTGTTAATGTTGCAGTTTAAAAACTGTAGTGTAAAGCACCCTTCTGGCAAGACAGTGATGGAGTGAATGATGGTGAAAGTTTTTCTTTTTCAGGCCACCCTGCCTTGGTGGGAATCAGCCAGTGTGATAATAAATAAAAAAATAAATAAATAATCTTTTGTTTACACTCTCAGGTAGTAAGTGTTGGAAACAATGCTGGTCCAAAAGGAGTAACAGTATCACTGTACAGAGGAAAGGAAGTTATTCAAACCACCCAGACCACCACTGATGGTACATATGTGTTTACACCATTATCATCAGGAAAGTACACAGTGGTGGCTTCACATCCCTCATGGAGCTTCATTAATGACAAGGTACAATGTGCTTATTTATATCATGGCCTTTGAAATTAAATACATATTTTTTCAAGTTATAGGTAGTAGGTTGGTAGACAGCAACTGCCCACGGAGGTACTACCATCCTGCCAAGTGAGTGTAAAATGGAAACCTTTAATTGTTTTACATGATGGTAGGATTGCTGGTGTCTTTTTTCTGTCTCGTAAACATGCAAGATTTCAGGTACATCTTGCTACTTCTTCTTACACTTAGGTCACACTACACATACATGTATACAAGCATATATATACACACCCCTCTGGGTTTTCTTCTATTTTCTTTCTAGTGCTTGTTCTTGTTTATTTCCTCTTATCTCCATGGGGTTTGGGATATTGGCAGTTTGGAGGGATATGTTGTGTATCTCTATACATATATGCTTCTAAACTGTTGTATTCTGAGCACCTCTGCAAAAGCAGTGATAATGTGTGAGTGTGGTGAAAGTGTTGAATGATGATGAAAGTATTTTCTTTTTGGGGATTTTCTTTCTTTTTTTTGGGTCACCCTGCCTCGGTGGGAGACGGCCGACTTGTTGAAAAAAAAAAAAAAAAAAAAAATCTCCATGGGGAAGTGGAACAGAATTCTTCCTCCGTAAGCCATGTGTGTTGTAAGAGGCGACTAAAATGCCGGGAGCAAGGGGCTAGTAACCCCTTCTCCTGTACAAATTACTAAATTTAAAAAGAAAAACTTTAGTTTTTCTTTTTGGGCCACCCTGCCTTGGTGGAATACGGCCGGTTTGTTGAAAAAAAATTCAAGTTAAATCGCTTAATAAATTTACACGTTTTGCTTTTGTTCCTGATTATTTGTACCAACATTCATCTTGTCTGTCTCAATTTGGGTTTATGGTTTTGACAAAACAGTTTTCATGGCTCTGAAAAGTTTTGTTTTTTATAGGTGATGGTAGAAGTTGCAGATGAAAATGGAGATGCTGGTTCCTCCATAGTTGTTGGGGGTTATATTGTGTCTGGAAGTGTTACAACTGAAGGCCAGGCAACACGAGGTGTCAGCTTTGTTCTACACTCTAAAGATGCCATTACAGCTCAACCAGGTAACATAGAGGAGTTTTAAAATGACCTTTCCTGTTCAGTTCCCTCCATCCTCCCCTGGTTACTGGAATGACTTTGTGACCATTTTTATTTTTGTGTGCTTTTCAAAGGAAGTGCTATGTTACTGATGAAGGGCTCTTAATCAAAGAAATTAGATCAAATTTCATTACCCTCCACTTTCCCATTTTCCAGGTGCTATGTTACCCTTATGTGTTTGGCATTTCTCCACGACTAACATGGATTTTTTGTACAGATTTGTCATTCTTCCTCAGTGGGAGACAGTCTGTGTGTTAAAAAAATATGCCTTGTTGTTTTGCTACTTCCCATATATTAAGACATTTTAATATAGTTTTTACTTATAAAGTTTCTCACATTACAGTCAGTCATCAAGGTGTCCTTGCTGTCTGTTCTTTCTCTTGCTCTCTTTCAAATAACTGACCTGTCATGTACAGAGATTATACAAAGTAATATAGAAAAAATCTAAAATGCACATTGAAAAGGCACTTAACGCACACTTGTATGACCCTCATAGCACAAAAGACAGTTACTGAAAGAATAATGGTTAATATGTTTATGTACTTCTTCGGGTCGCCCTGTTTTGGTAGAAAATGACTGATATATTAAGAATATTTTTTATACTTCTAATATTGTTATCAGTGAGGAAGTGGAATAAGAAGTTTTGCTTCGTAAGCCATTCATATTGTAAAACTCTAACTAAAATGCCAGGAGCAATGGGCTAATAACCCCTTTTCCCATACAGCTTACTAAAAATAAAAAGAAGGAAACTTTTAAGTTGGGAGGTTTGATAAACCAGTTAGCCGGACTTGAATCCTGGAGGTGGAAAGTACAGTGCCTGTACTTTAGAAGAGGGGTTTGGGATATTGGCTGTTTGGAGTAACATCTAAACTGTCATGTCTGGGCACCTCCTCAAAGACAGTGATTTTGTGTGAGTGATGATGAAAGTGTTTTTCTTTTTTGGGTCACCCTGCCTTGGTGGGAGACAGTCATCACAGTGAAAAAAAGAAATTATCAATCATGATTTTTCTTTGTGTTTACAGAGTGTAGCCCAGGAATTCCTGAAGGCTACTCAAATACAGTTGGAATACCAGCTGTGTGCCATGTAATATCAGGCACTGGTGGTGTCTTTTCCTTTGGCTCTGTGCCACCTGGCACATATATTTTGATTCCCTACTTCCACTCACCTACAACCAAATATGAGGTGACACCAAGTCAACTGGAGGTAACCGTTGAACACGATGACTTGATTCTTCAACAAACATTTAAGGTAAGCACAATAAAATGTCACATTAATTGCATTTGTCCTTTTACCTAACATCCTAACATATTGTCGGTAATTCTACCAACATTAATACACACCTCTATTTTAGCAGTGGTATTTTAATATGAATTGAAATTCTACTGTAGTCTAAATGCTAATATTTTCTGACTACCTAATAATGAGAAAATTAATGCAGACAGATTAACATCTTTAAATTGGAAAGCTGGTACATGTACTAAATCTTATAAAGTAAATCAGGGACTTTTTTTTTTTTTCTTTTTTTTAACACGAGCTGTCTCCCACTGTAGTAGGGTGACCTGAAGAAGCAAAACTTTACCCATCATTCATTCAATCACTGTCTTACCAGAAGCATGCAAACATCGCAGCTCGGATGACCCACTGAACTGTAAAATCCTAATCCTCCTTCAGAGTTTAGGAACCATACTACCCAGGAATCAAGTCCTGCTAACCAGTTTCTTTGAATAGCTTCATAAAGGTTACCTTGGTCACACTCAGAACCACAGGCAGTAGGAAGGTAACAGTATGAAAATATGTATTCACAGGTTTATAATATGTGCTCTTCAAACTAGACAAAGACAAGTTTTCTTGTTTCTTTTATGACCACTTTCATTTATTTTTTGTATGTGATCATTTAGTTCCTGCCTAGTATGCCTATATTTTCTGGGATAACAGTAAGTAAATTGTATCTTTTCTGATTTTGTATTGTGTAGTGATTTTGATTAAATTTTGTATTTTACCAAATTCATTTAATTTTTTTGTGTGTATGTATAAGATTATTTGGTGCATGTGTGGCAAGCTCATAGATTTTTGGTGAACATTAGTCAAGAAATATGGAATTTGCAGAGTTCAGAATTAATTACTATCTTTTTCATGTTATATTGCATGTGCTTAATGTACCATAAATCAGGAATGTATTTATTGCATACATTGAGAGAGACCTGTAGTTAAAAATACCAAACTGAAAAGGGAAGCAGAAATACAGTCCAGATATTTTTTTACTTGCTTTATACTTTACCACTATTCATTGTGTTAATCCACAATTTGGATAGTGAACATTAGGCTGCATTTCAGTCTATCCTGGAACATTGCATGTGACGATAGTTCAGAATGGATCAAAATGATTTCTAAATTTCCTTTTCAAATTGTGACTTTTCTTCCTACTAAGTAGCTAGTTTGTTGTGCTCTTACCTGATGGAGGATGGAATCTCCACTACTTGTGCCAAATGGCCCACACACTTTAGCATTTCACATAAATACAGTAATCCACCATTATGTACAGGTTGGAGGTTTCAGCATGAATGGTCGAATAACCAAGAGTGAAGGTGGAGAGGCTGTGGCAGGAGCTAAGGTTGTGCTTGATAAAACATTCACATCAACTACTGACGCCGATGGATTTTATGCCTTTGAAAATATTCAGTCAGGAAAGCACAAGATCAAAGTGATTGCAGGTTAGTTCAAGTAGTAATACGTATGTAATAGTAGTAACATGCTTAAAACGTAGAGCGATCAGGAAAGATTGCCTGGTAAAATAAGTGAAATAGTGGAAGATAATGTATAACAACTTCATTTTATCGATTTCAGGATAGATCCTTAAAGGAAAGGCTTAATATGTATGTATTGTTGTGAAAGGACCAGAGATGCAAGTTCAGAATCATCAAAATCTAAACATTATATATCCCAAATAGTACAGGTTAATTAAAAAAACAATTTGAATAAAAATATTAATAGATTACATGCAGTAAAGACTCGTCAACTGCTGTGAATACATTCAAGGACAAGCTCATGAATTGTGAATTCACAGTTACCAAACTTGTATTATGCACAACAGTATTTACATAAGAATACAGGGAAGGAGTTCTGGATCCAAGGCTTTTCCTTACAAAGTACTACATTACAAAGTTAGTGATAATCTAGAAAGAAGTGCAGCACCAGTGTAGCAATAAATGCCCAGTGATGTGTAAGGAAACTGAATGAAAAGTGAAGTGATTGATTGAGCTGACTGTACTCGCTTATATGTGGTTGCAGAGGTTGAATCACAGCTAATATATGATTAACTTAAGTGCAATCCACTCTACTGTATAAAGTAACAAGGAGTTTATTAGGAAGCCCTCAATTTCATGGATTAATAGGGAAGGAGCAGGTGACTGATAATAGCATTTGTGGTGGATGGAGGCGAGATTGTTTTGCCATGATTGTATCAACAATGGACAGTTCTGTAACAGACAGACTGTTGTTTCAGAATCATTTGACCCAGTGGATTTCCAAGTACATTAAATGGAGACTTTATTTTATTAGAATTTAAAAATTGTTAGAAATCAATATTAGCCACTTTGTAATTCTTTTCCACTCTGTTACTATCATAGTTCCTTTGTATAAAGGCAAAGGGGACAAAAGAGAGTGCAAAAATTATAGGGGGATAAGTCTGTTGAGTATACCTGGTAAAGTGTATGGTAGAGTTATTATTGAAAGAATTAAGAGTAAGACGGAGAATAGGATAGCAGATGAACAAGGAGGCTTTAGGAAAGGTAGAAGGTGTGTGGACCAGGTGTTTACAGTGAAACATATAAGTTAACAGTATTTAGATAAGGCTAAAGAGGTCTTTGTGGCATTTATGGATTTGAAAAAGGCATATGACAGGGTGGATAGGGGGGCAATGTGGCAGATGTTGCAGGTGTATGGTGTAGGAGGTAGGTTACTGAAAGCAGTGAAGAGTTTTTATGAGGATAGTGAGGCTCAAGTTAGAGTATGTAGGAAAGAGGGAAATTATTTCCCAGTAAAAGTAGGCCTTAGACAAGGATGTGTGATGTCACCGTGGTTGTTTAATATATTTATAGATGGGGTTGTAAGAGAAGTAAATGCGAGGGTCTTGGAAAGAGGCGTGGAGTTAAAAGATAAAGAATCACACATAAAGTGGGAGTTGTCACAGTTGCTCTTTGCTGATGACACTGTGCTCTTGGCAGATTCTGAAGAGAAGTTGCAGAGATTGGTGGATGAATTTGGTAGGGTGTGCAAAAGAAGAAAATTAAAAGTGAATACAGGAAAGAGTAAGGTTATGAGGATAACAAAAGATTAGGTGATGAAAGATTGGATATCAGATTGGAGGGAGAGTATGGAGGAGGTGAATGTATTCAGATATTGGGAGTGGACATGTCAGCGGATGGGTCTATGAAGATGAGGTGAATCATAGAATTGATGAGGGGAAAAGGGTGAGTGGTGCACTTGGGAGTCTTTGGAGACAAAGAACTTTGTCCTTGGAGGCAAAGAGGGGAATGTATGAGAGTACAGTTTTACCAACGCTCTATATGGGTGTGAAGCATGGGTGATGATGTTGCAGCGAGGAGAAGGCTGGAGGCAGTGGAGATGTCATGTCTGAGGGCAATGTGTGGTGTGAATATAATGCAGAGAATTCGTAGTTTTTGGGAAATTAGGAGGAGGTGCGGGATTACCAAAACTGTTGTCCAGAGGGCTGAGGATGGGTTGTTGAGGTGGTTCGGACATGTAGAGAGAATGGAGCAAAACAGAGTGACTTCAAGGGGTATCAGTCTGTAGTGGAAGGAAGGCGGGGTAGGGGTCAGCCTAGGAAAGGTTGGAGAGAGGGGTAAAAGAGGTTTTGTGTTCGAGGGGCTTGGACTTCCAGCAGGCATGCGTGAGCGTGTTTGATAGGAGTGAATGGAGACAAATGGTTTTTAATAATTGACGTGCTGTTGGAGTGTGAGCAAAGTAACATTTATGAAGGGGTTCAGGGAAACCGGCAGGCCGGACTTGAGTCCTGGAGATGGGAAGTACAGTGCCTGCACTCTGAAGGAGGGGTGTTAATGTTGCAGTTTAAAAACTGTAGTGTAAAGCACCCTTCTGGCAAGACAGGGATGGGGTGAATGATGGTGAAAGTTTTTCTTTTTTGGGCCACCCTGCCTTGGTGGGAATCAGCCAGTGTGATAATAAAATAATAAAAAATACTATCATAACATTTGTAATGGCTTGATTTTAATTTAACCACATTATTTTACTCTCGCAGACAAGTATGAATTTGAAGAAGCAGTAGTGAATATCAACCCACAGCACCCAGTTGTGGAAGATATATTCCCAGCACGTTATGAAGTTTGCTTCTCTGTGACAGTAGAGAAAACAGCCTCTCACATAGGACCATGGTGAGTTACTTTTAAATACCCATGCATTATTAGCATCATAAATACTCTAGGTTTATTATACTGATGCCTTTGGAATACTTACCATGGTGCTGTAGTTCCAGTTAATGACTTAAAACTGGAATTTATTTTTGCTTATTGTGAGTATCTGAAATAGGCATGATTAGTTTGTATAATAAATTTTACCAGCCATATATATTGATAAAAGTCAAATGGTATGCAAGGCTGCATGTGCTTGTTCCACTCATTAGTGACATACCTAAATGTTTTGTTTTCAATGCCTTTGACAGGTAACAGTACATCAGAAAATTAATGTAAAGCACAAGAGGATTATTTAGCATGTTTAATATCCTCAGATAATTATCTTGGTAATAATAGCGGTATCAAGATCAATAACTGGATTACTATATTACTATCATTCTGCTTAAATTATGCTTATAAAGTTCCTGTATTTCTGTTTATTATTGTAATATGTATATGGTAATTTACTTGTTCTGTTGTACATGCAATCTGAAATTAATTACTGTAATAGACTTAAAAGGTTAAATGTTATTTACTGGCATATTTCAGGACAATTGAAATTCACAGCAATTCTGGAGTTGAAACAGAGCTACAAACTGATATGTCTGGTCATGGCTGCATTCACCTACCTGTTGGTACTTATTCTACAGCTGTTAAACTGTCTTCAGCTGCTGATAAGGCAGGCATGAGGTATGTTTTAGAAAAGCCTTAATTTTTCAATTTCAATCTGTAATACATGTAAAGAATTTTGGTGGTACATCTTGTAGGAGTGAGGAAGAGCCAGTTGTGAGTGTGGGGGAAGTTCGTGAGGCAGTAGGTAAAATGAAAGGGGGTAAGGCAGCCGGGATTGATGGGATAAAGATAGAAATGTTAAAAGCAGGTGGAGATATAGTTTTGGAATGGTTGGTGCAATTATTTAATAAATGTATGGATGAGGGTAAGGTACCTAGGGATTGGCAGAGAGCATGCATAGTTCCTTTGTATAAAGGCAAAGGGGACAAAAGAGAGTGCAAAAATTATAGGGGGATAAGTCTGTTGAGTATACCTGGTAAAGTGTATGGTAGAGTTATTATTGAAAGAATTAAGAGTAAGACGGAGAATAGGATAGCAGATGAACAAGGAGGCTTTAGGAAAGGTAGGGGGTGTGTGGACCAGGTGTTTACAGTGAAACATATAAGTGAACAGTATTTAGATAAGGCTAAAGAGGGTCTTTGTGGCATTTATGGATTTGGGAAAAGGCGTAATGACAGGGTGGATAGGGGGGGCAGTGTGGCAGATGTTGCAGGTGTATGGTGTAGGAGGTAGGTTACTGAAAGCAGTGAAGAGCTTTTACGGGATAGTGAGGCTCAAGTTAGAGTATGTAGGAAAGAGGGAAATTATTTCCCAGTAAAAGTAGGCGTTAGACAAGGATGTGTGATGTCACCGTGGTGTTTAATATATTTATAGATGGGGTTGTAAGAGAAGTAAATGCGAGGGTCTTGGCAAGAGGCGTGGAGTTAAAAGATAAAGAATCACACAAAGTGGGAGTTGTCACAGTTGCTCTTTGCTGATGACACTGTGCTCTTGGGAGATTCTGAAGAGAAGTTGCAGAGATTAGGTGGATGAATTTGGTAGGGTATGCAAAAGAAGAAATTAAAAGTGAATACAGGAAAGAGTAAGGTTATGAGGATAACAAAAAGATTAGGTGATGAAAGATTGAATATCAGATTGGAGGGAGAGAGTATGGAGGAGGTGAATGTATTCAGATATTTGGGAGTGGACGTGTCAGCAGATGGGTCTATGAAAGATGAGGTGAATCATAGAATTGATGAGGGAAAAGGGTGAGTGGTGCACTTTAGGAGTCTTTGAGGACAAAGAACTTTGTCCTTGGAGGCAAAGAGGGGAATGTATGAGAGTATAGTTTTACCAACGCTCTTATATGGGTGTGAAGCATGGGTGATGAATGTTGCAGCGAGGAGAAGGCTGGAGGCAGTGGAGATGTCATGTCTGAGGGCAATGGTGTGGTGTGAATATAATGCAGAGAATTCGTAGTTTGGAAGTTAGGAGGAGGTGCGGGATTACCAAAACTGTTGTCCAGAGGGCTGAGGAAGGGTTGTTGAGGTGGTTCGGACATGTAGAGAGAATGAGCGAAACAGAATGACTTCAAGTAGTGAATCAGTCTGTAGTGGAAGGAAGGCGGGGTAGGGGTCGGCCTAGGAAAGGTTGGAGGGAGGGGGTAAAGGAGGCTTTGTGTGCGAGGGGCTTGGACTTCCAGCAGGCATGCGTGAGCGTGTTTGATTAGGAGTGAATGGAGACAAATGGTTTTTAATACTTGACGTGCTGTTGGAGTGTGAGCAAAGTAACATTTATGAAGGGGTTCAGGGAAACCGGCAGGCCGGACTTGAGTCCTGGAGATGGGAAGTACAGTGCCTGCACTCTGAAGGAGGGGTGTTAATGTTGCAGTTTAAAAACTGTAGTGTAAAGCACCCTTCTGGCAAGACAGTGATGGAGTGAATGATGGTGAAAGTTTTTCTTTTTCGGGCCACCCTGCCTTGGTGGGAATCGGCCAGTGTGAGAATAAAAAAAAAAATAATAAGATGAATATTTATGTATTGTATATGTTTGTCTGTTATACTATTTTATTGAGATAATGAAGGGGTGCATAAAACATTTAGCAATTAGGATTTAGATTTTTGATTGGTAGTACTGAGTATTATTAAAATCCATTTATATAATACATAAATTTGGTTAAAAATGCTTGGTTGAAAATTGTTATAACACAGTTGGTTAGTTACTGTCCTGCGAGTTTTAGCACTTCCCTGCCATGGGTTCCAGCCCCACCTGTTCTCTAATTTAAACAATTGTAGTTTATTGGTGAATTCATTACATTTACATTTTCAGTGTTGATAAATTTTAGGGACAGGCAACTAACTAGTATGCAGGAATACTACAACAGCATTAAATTTTGAGGCATTCACCAAGGAAATGAAACCATAGACTTTTGTAAATAAACTTGTGTATACAGAAGTCTTCTTCTTCTTTCAACACACCGGCCATATCCCACCGAGGCAGGGTGGCCCAAAAAACCGGCCATATCCCACCGAGGCGGGGTGGCCCAAAAGAAAAAACGAAAGTTTCTCCTTTTACATTTAGTAATATATACAGGAGAAGGGGTTACTAGCCCCTTGCTCCCAGCATTTTAGTCGCCTCTTACAACACGCATGGCTTACGGAGGAAGAATTCTGTTCCACTTCCCCATGGAGGTAAGAGGAAATGAACAAGAACAAGAACTAGAAAGAAAATAGAAGAAAACCCAAAGGGGTGTGTATATACAGTGGACCCCCGCTTAACGATCACCTCCCAATGCGACCAATTATGTAAGTGTATTTAAGTGCATTTGTACGTGTATGTTTGGGGGTCTGAAATGGACTAATCTACTTCACAATATTCCTTATGGGAACAAATTCGGTCAGTACTGGCACCTGAACATACTTCTGGAATGAAAAAATATCGTTAACCGGGGGTCTACTGTATATGCTTGTACATGTATGTGTAGTGTGACCTAAGTGTACGTAGAAGTAGCAAGACGTACCTGAAATCTTGCATGTGCACGAGACAGAAAAAAAAAGACACCAGCAATCCTACCATCGTGTAAAACAATTACAGGCTTCAGTTTTACACTCACTTGGCAGGATGGTAGTACCTCCCTGGGTGGTTGCTGTCTACCAACCTACTACCTAGGATATACAGAAGTACATGTATTTCCTTGAAACTTATACCCAAGCTGATTTTTCTGGAACTGCATAGACATCACAATTCAAATTATCTGCCGAACTTCAGCACCCATGCCATTTTTCCAAGTACAGGCCCTGTTTGCATCTCCTTTTGATCAACCTACTAAGTGACCAAACCAACCATTTAAATTACTTTTTTGTCTGCTTCCTGAAATATACCTCTCATGACTCCACACTGTCTTCTAACTTTTACATTACTTAGTATCTTTATAGTAATCACTTCACACATTAGAAATATGACATCATCATTGCCTCTAGCCTCCTCATTGCAGCATTCAAAGACCATGCACCATGCCAGTCTACTATGCTATTCTGTACTCTTGTACTTTTTTTTCATATATTGGTGAGCTTCAGGGATTGTTCAGGGGTAAGCTTATCCCTGAACAATCCAGCTGCTTCCTTTCCCTTGTTTGTACCATATTTCACCTTGTCTTCATAGACCTGTCTGTTGATACTCACTCCCATGTGTGTATTTCAATATATTCAAGACCTTCATTCTTATGAACATCACCACTGTAGTTTAGAATAATGTACTATGTACTTAATAATGGCAATGTTTTCTTCCTCTAAAGTAACACCTTCTGACTATGACCAACTTTGTTACTAAAAAATCTTCCTGGTGAAGCATGATAGAGATTTTATTTTGGTTATAAATTTGTGCTTAAAATCTGTGATGTTTCCTCAATACATGTCATGTTTTCCTTAAATTAATCTCACTATGCATTCATAGAGCCACATGATAAAGCTTATGGGTTATACTTATTACCAAAGGAAGGTTAATCTTTGCCTTGACACAGCCAGTTCACAATATTTGCTTTGATGTGGAAAGGTCATGGTTACCTTAGTTAGGGGTGGTAGAAGAAGGATGTAACTTGTTAACTCTTGAATATACAGTACTAGAAATCAATTGGCTACAAATAGGGGATTAATATAAATTAACCAAATTGTGATTAATAGGATTTAACAAATTGTAACTGAATACTGAGGATGTTTAATTACAGTATTTTTTAATCATGCAATATTCTATTACCTCTTCCTACTACAGCATACAGCAGAATTTTTTATTTTTCAGATTTGGACCTCTCGAACATGTGTTCACAGTAGACTCGGATCCAATTGGACTGTTGACATTTTCTCAGTTCTTAGGTGAAATAACTGGAAAGATATTCTGTTTAGAAAAATGCCCTGATCTGAATGTGATTCTCCGACTCGCCCAGGGTACTGGTGCCCCTCGCAGCACTGTTGCTATTGATGGAAAGTTTTCTTTTACTGAAGTGGTTCCTGGCTCATATCAACTAAGTGTGCAGAAAGATGAATGGTGCTGGAAGCTCAAGACAATACCCGTAATTGTTAATACACAAAATGTTGAAGTATCTCTTGAGCAGGTAGGTTACCAGCTGACACTTGCATCATCTCATGAAACCACTTTAAGTTATACTACCAGCACTGGAGCATCAGGCACTGTTGTTGCTCAGAAAGGCAGCACATTAGTGTGTATGTCTGTGCCTGGCACTTACACCCTCACACCAGTTGGCTGTCATAAGTTTGGATCAGCACAAATCCAGTGGGATTCTTCATCACCAAATTTAGTGACTTTGTCAGCCACCAAACATCAACTGACTGGTGCTGTGAGAGCTAGAGAAGCAGGACCCTTTACTGTCGCTGTGAAATCTGGTGGCCAGATTAGCATTTTGGGACCACTCAATGTATCCTCTGATGATCCACACCTTTATGTCTTTGAACACTGGATCCGTGAAGGCGAAAGTGTGATTCTGACTCCTGGTTCTCCAACTAATTTGTATCAGTATGAGCCAGCATCTCATACAATTACCATGCCAACTGACTGTGTTCTTAATGCAGTCATTTTTCGTGCAGAACGGGCCCTTTTTATTCATGGTAGTGTGATACCTGCAATAGGTGGTGTGACAATCAATGTAGAGGGCAATGGAATTGTTTACACATACACTACTGATGCTGCAGGCAAATATACTGCTGGTCCTTTGGACAATTCAATTCAGTATACTGTTACAGCTGAAAAGAAAGGCTATGTGATGAATGCTTTAAATGAAAAAGGTCATTTTGAAGCTTATAAATTGGCAGAAGTGGTTGTGTTAGTGAAAGATGAGAATGGAGCTGCTTTACCAGGGGTATTAGTGTCTATGTCAGGAGGAAAGAGCTATCGGCAAAATAGCCTGACAGAGAATGATGGCACAATTGGCTTTTTCTCCTTGACCCCTGGTGATTACTTTCTCCGGCCCATGATGAAAGAATACACATTTGATCCACCCTCCAAGATGGTTACTGTAGATGAAGGTGCTACAATTATGATGAGCATCAGGTGAGAACTTAATTTACCTGCCAAGTGTAGGTTAACTTGAAAAAGTTAACCTACACTTGGCAGTTTCTCCCATTGTTAGAAAATGACAAGCAGGTGTAATATATGTTGTATGGTAAGGATAAAATGTATGTTTTTAATATAAATAAAACATTCTAGTGCATCAGAGGGCTGTAAGTTGGAGTAAAAATCGAGCTTCATTTTTCATGTCTCCAAATTGTTTTACAGTTCACACTTGACACAACTATTTTATTAATTTAAATAGACTAATGCATTTCTGTTGTTTATTCATTTTCAGTTTTTTTAAGACAGTGATTAATTATTTATTGGAGTTTAGAGGAATGAGCTCCAGCCCTTGGTACCAGCTCATAACTTTCATATAGTTAACATGATTTAGTTCTATCATATCTAGTTTTGAATCCCTGTATGAAATTTCTTTGTACAGCACTGTGCCACTGCTTGGATTATATATTTACCTAGTATTTTTTTAATTATGAATTTAAGTTTGTGGGATTGAGCTCCAATTCTTTGTTGTTATTTTTACATTCCTGGGGGCATTAAACACATAGGGTTCCTGCACCTGGGGAAATAGCAGGCATTGAGACTCGATTTGCAGAATTGGAACACAGTTCCAGTTTCTTAGATCAAGAGCCCCTCACCACCATCAAGGTACCTCCCTTGAGGGTTCCAGCTCTTAGTCCCATCTCTTAACATTTGACTGATTGATGTGATTGTGTCTACAGATTATGATATAAGCTTATAAGAAATAAGATACCTATAATCACTGTTTTAGTCTGATGCTACTTTTTGTTTTTTCCCCTTCACCCTATCCTTTTCCTCAGTGGATCACGTGTGGCATACAGTGTATATGGGCAAACTGTTTCCTTGATTGGAGAGCCAGAGTCCAATGTGGTAGTTGAGGCTGTGGGCAAAGGCTCAGACTGTGAACAGTACCAGGAAGAGGCTGCATCTGATGATCAGGGCAGCTTCAGAATACGAGGACTTCTACCAAAAGTAATTACAATATTGTATATCTTTAAAATACTATTTCATGTCTCTCACTGCACATAAATTAATATAAACATTCGGTGATAGGCAGAATGCCCTGGGATGGGAGTCAACCAAACATACTTTGTTTAAAATCCCACAGAGGAATATCCACTTTGAACTTATTAAACTGGGAGCAAGGGGCTAGTAACCCCTTCTTCTGTATAAATTACTAAATTTTAAAAAGAAAAACTGCCTTTTTTTTTTTTTTTTAGGTCACTCTGCCTTGGTGGGATATGGCCGAAAAGAAATAAATTATGTATTTCTATTTGTTGTATGAAGAGCTGAGAGAAATGGTCTATGTGGTAGTCTTTCCAAAACCTTGTGACACACAGACTTATTGGACTGTGAATCGACCCTAAGACCTGTAACTCTGCCTAAGTCAGCCTATAGAAAGATAGTCACCAACAGAAGAGAAACATATTAGTTAGGAGCATGCTGTTGAGCATTTACTATAGAATTAAATCTACAGTTCATGAAATGTAAAGTTATGAATTACTGCAAGATACATCAGTGGCAATAAGTTTGGTCATTTTAAAAAAGATTTACTTAGACAATGATTTTGTCAGTTTCATTAAAAGATTTAAGGGTGAGAAGGGAGAACCTTGGGTAGCATTGAAAATAGGTTGGACAGGTACACGAGTAAGTATGGGCAGGTGTGAGTTGGACCTGCCTAGCAAGGGCCAGGTGGCCTGCTGCAGTGTTCCTTAATTCTTAGGCTCTTGGGTGCTCTTAGGTTTATGTTGATAAAACAGTGATACAAGTGATTCTCAACTTAAGCATTGCATTCTGGGGCTTCATCTTACAAATATGTTTTTTGTATAGGGCACTTTCATTAGTGCAGATGTATGTAATTTAAGGAGTTTGTATTTGTAAAGCAGACATTAATTACTCAAAATATAAAACAAAAAAAAATGCATATTTTAAATATTAATGTTTCCATATTAAGAGAAACAAGAGGGAATATTGAAAAGGAAGGTAACTTTTGATGTAAATTAAGCTTGATATTATTGAAAATTTTTTGGATGATATGTGAACTCTTATTCATTTTAAATGTATTAATACTGTGCTGTACAATTGTACCTTTTTTCAGTGTCATTATGAACTGAGATTGAAGACTGGAAATGGAATTAATTTGCACGTCCAGCGAACCTTGCCTGCTACCCGTACAGTTCACACAGAAAATGAAGATGTCCAAGACATGAGGCTCATTGTATTGAGAACTTTTAATCAGATGGATGTTGCTGCCAAGGTAGACACTGACCAACAACACTTATCATCTTTGGTAGCACACTTGTATCGAGAGGACCTACCAGACTCTCCGATCCACACCATCAAACTTGGTCTTCATCCATATTTTATGCTCCCTCCAATGACTGCAGACAGACGCATTTATTACCTACGCTTGGAATCTAATTTGCCTACATCTCAATATCAGTATTCTACTCCAGAAGTTACTTTTGTTGCTGATTCTGCATTTAAACATTTAAATTTGAGTTTCAAGCCCACATTAAGAGGTGTAGATGCAGAGATGAGTCAAGGGACAGTGGTTGGATTTGCAATTGCTATTATTTTAGTTACTATAGCTTTTAACTATGACAAAATGGGGCCCATGTTAGAAAAAATTTCAGATATAATAACCAATATTTCCACACCTAAAGCAGTGCAAAAATCTTCATCTGTCTCATCGGATATACCTATTATTGAAGCAGTTAAGAAGAAAGTCAAATCAAGGAAAGTGTAATTAGTTCATTAATGTACTTCACAATGAATAGAATGAAAAAAATGGAATTTGTTTTTAAATGCCAGTCAATATTTTATAATTAATGATTATTGAAATTATACAAAAATTGAGGATGAATTTTTTATTTGATTATTTTCATTTAAAAGGTGTGTATGAATCTTAGTTTCAAATGTACGTGTATAAAGAAAACACTAGTAAATATTTTGTATATGCTCACTAATTTTCTCCTACATTACGCTTGTTTTACGAAATACATTTTTTAGAATGTCTTATCCCTTATTAGTTTGATGTTTTCTGACACTTTTCACTGTTTTCTCTTGAAGCATTCCATAATGTTGATGCTGAAGTGCCTTTGCTCTTCATTGTTATAGAGCTCTTGGCATATTAAATAATTTTTGAAACTGTATGTGACATATTGTTAATCCTTAAACTAGTCTGTGGGAACATTACTGCTCCCCTATAAGCATTTTTTCATATATGATAGAACATTTAAATTATAATAATAAGTGAGAATCTTACAGTCCTTAGGCCTAGTGACACAGGTTGGCAGAATTTCTCATCACACCAACATATTAGTTTTTATATGCTTCAGTGTGTAGTACCCAAGAAACAAACAAAAAAAGAAAAAGTCCCTGTACAGTGAAATTGCAGTAAATCAACATTTTTTTTACATTCATGGAATATAAGAACATAAGAAGAACATAAGAACGAAGGAACACTGCAGAAGGCCTACTGGCCCATGCGAGGCAGGTCCAAGTCCCTACCGGCTTAAGCCAAGCACCCAACTAGTCGGGTCAGGTCACTTGATTTAAAGGGGGAACCCGGCAACCGCCTTTTAGCACAAGCTTCGGTCCAATCACACCCACCCCAATTCTCATTTTTACCCAACCTATTTTTTAAAAGACAAAACGTTCTGGCCTCTATAACGTTTTGGGAGTTTGCCACTCACCCACAACTCTTTTAACCAAACCGACTTCCATATCCCTCCTGAATCTAAATTTTTTCCAATTTAAAAAACCATTGCTGCGAGTCCCTGTCTAGGCAGATTTTTCACCCTATTTACACCCCTTTATTTATTCCTGTCTTCATTAAACCCCTCAATCATACCCCCCCTAATTCTCGCTTTCTGGGGAAGTGCATTTCGGGGCCCTTGTCTACCCTCATGGGGAAGGTTTCTGAAAAAGGGATCACCTTTGTCATCCTCCTTGTACATTTTCCAAGAAATTTATATCCTTCTGAAAATTACGGGGCCCAAAAACTGTGCCAAATCTAAATGGGGGCCAAACCAAGGATGTTGATTGAAAAAAAACCTGAGACTCCTATTTTTTATGCTTTTTTGATAGGCCAAGGATTTATTAGCTTTTATTGCAACACTTTGCACTGTTGTCTTGGTTTCAGTTATGCAAACCAACCCTAAATTTTTGGGGCAATCCGTAATTTTTAAGATTACTTTTTAGTTTATATTGGCATGGTTATTGTCCCTTAAAACTTTTTAGAATTTGCATTTGTCTTTTAAACTGCATTGCCACTTTTTTCCCCCCACTGCATCAGTCTATTCAAATTTTCCCCGGGAGTGCTCGAATGCCCTTCAAATGAATTCGAGGGGCCTTTTTGGGGGTCATGGGCAAATTTTCCCGTGTCCTTTTTAGGGCCCCATCTATGTCGTTTATGAGTTGGAAAACGCGGGGGGCCCAACACGACCCCTGTGGAACACCGTCGTGACGCTTCCCCACTCTGTTTTCTCCCCATTTTATGCAAACTCTTGCTGCCTATTTGTCAACCAGCCCTACCCGGGAAAAAAAATTTTCTCCTCCTTTCCAGTGCTTTAATTTTCCCAATAGTCTCTGATTGGGACCCTGTCAAAAAGCCTTCGAAGTCCTATAAAAAAAATCATATTCATTCCCAGATTCCCCTCAAATCCCTTTAGGAAAAAATTTAAAAAATTCGAAGGCAGGAACCCCCTTTGTAAAACCATGCGAGTTCGTTGTTTAATTTTTTATGCTTTTCAAGGTGGTACGAACTGCCTCGGCAATTTTTGTTCCAAAAATTTTCCCACTAGGGAGGTTGGGCTTTTTGGTCCTAATTTCGAAGCTAAGGACCTGTCACCTTTTTGAAAAAGGTATACTTTTGCCTTTTTCCCACTTATCTGGCACCATGCCATTTTTATGATATGTAAAAAGTTACCCAAAAGGTGTGCTAAGCTCCTCTTTACTTTTTTTAGAACCCTTGCAAAAGTTCATCAGGGCCCCTGGGGATTTTTTGGGTTTTTAATTTATCTATTTGCCTAAGGCCCATGCCCCCTTGTGACCCTAATGTGCACATTTTTAAATATCGTCCTTTTCCCATAAATTATCATTACGGGAAAATTCGCTGGTATCCTCCTGTGTAAAACTGAGGGGAAAAATTGGTTAAAATTTCTACACATTTCCTTATCACTGTCAGTGAGCGACCCGAGGAACTTTTGGGGGGCCTATCTTGTCCCCTGATTTATTCTGTATATGAAAGAAAATTTTGGGGGGGGTTTGTTTCGATTTCTTCCCTTTTAAACCTAAATCTTATTTGTTTTTAATTCCCTTTTTTTTTCTCTTTTTAAAAATGAATATATCGATTTTTTAAATTTTGCCCCTTCCTTTTTGATTTGCCAATATGCCTCTTTTTTGACCAATCAGATATTTAATCTATTTTCATCATTTAGGATCATTTTTGTTTGATCTGATTTCCCTTTTTGGAAAAAATTTATGAGCAGCTAGAATACCCCGGAAAGCATCAATCGGAAACCATCCCACCTACCTGACCCCGTCGGTCTTCCAGTTCACCCACCTAATTAATTTTTCATCCTAAAAACAGCCAAGGAAAGTCAGGGAGGAGATTTGATTGCCATTTTTAGGGGGTTTCCATGATATTTTAAAAAACGGTGTTTTGTATAAACTTCCCCCCCCCAATCTCTTTAAAACCTCAATTAAAAATTAGTGTTTCCCTACGGGCAAAAACCCAAAATCAAGGGGTTATTTCCCCTGTTGGCCGTCAAAAAACTTTTTTAAAAAAACAACCCGGATCGTAAAAGAAAGTCACCCACCTAAATTTCCTGCAAATTGCTCCAGTCAATCTGTCTTATTGAAATCTCCCATTAGCCAAAACTTTTCGTTTTAAATCCCTTTACGAATTTCGCCCAATAGAAGTTTAAACTGCACTCCCTATAAAGGGATTTGGGGCCCTGTAATCACACCCAAATTAGTTTTTCTGGGCCCTCGAGAAGACTGTAACCAACAGTTTCAGTGGCTGACGCTTCTAATTTAATATTTTTGCCCTAACACAACAATTTAAAATTTGTCCCCCTGACATACATCGCTACTCCACCACCTATTTTCCTGTTGACCCTGTCAGTGTGGATTAATTTAACCATTTAAATTCGAGTTTCTATCTTCACATTGAGCAGGTGTCTGATGCAAATTTGATTTCCAATGGACATGCATTGGATTTGCTAATCTTTTATTTTAAACTCTCTTTTAGTTTTAAACCTAATGGACAAACTTGGGGCCCCCTGTTTAGCATAACTTTCTAGATTATAATAACCAATATTTCCAACCCTAAGCAGTTGAAAAACTTTTCTGCCCTCACACACACCTACTTATCTAGTCAGTTTAAAAACAGCAATTTCAACCAATGGTATCCAATCAGTTCATAATGTACCACCCTGAAGAATGAAAAACCCTTGAATTTGTTTTTAAATGCCAGTTCAATAATGGATTCAAGTCCTTGAGTATTGAAATTTACAAAATTGACTGAATTATTTTATTTTGGAATGATTCTTTAATATGTTGTGGAATCTTTAGATTTAAATGAACTGTATAAGAAACCTGTATTTTATAGCCTCTTCTCTTACCTTCCCTACATTTACGCAGCCTTACGAAATAATTTTTATTAGAATGTATTATCCCTTATTGTTTGATGTCTCGGGGAGCACATCTTTCTCACTCTTTTCTCTTAAAAAAGCAATTCCAACATTTTGATGCTAGAATGCGCTTTACTCTTCATTGCTATTACATCCTTCATGGCATAATTTAAACTTTAATCTTTGGAAACTGAGGACTTTTACTTAGATTACCCCTTAAATTCCTTAGTCTGTGCGCCTCCCCATTACGGGCCTCCCCTTTAAGCATTCGGGTCTCATATATGGTAGCCGTTTAAATCCCACAATTAATGTGAGAACAGTCCCTTATGCTGGGAACCACAGGTTGGCGACATCTCAACACCACATATTCCCCAGATTTTGATTGCCTTCAGCTCCTAAGTCTCCCTGAGAAAAAAACCCCCCAAAAAAGAAAACATGTCCGGCAACCAGTTTGAAATTGCCACGAAAATCAACACTCAGTCTTTGACATTCATGGAACTACCCATGAACATTGCAAATTGTACAGTTTGCCATATGATAGCACTTCTCTCATAAACTATGGATAAAGTAAGTGATCTGCTTATATTGTTAAAGAGCATTATTTTCCATTCAAAGGTTTTTGTACTCACTTGCTCGGCATAAGGAGGGACCTGCTGTCTGTGTTAGTTCACATTTTTATTTAATGTAACTCAGAGACCAACAGCATACATTGTCCATATCATCACTGGTATCACTTTTATTCCTCTTTGATTGAAGTTGTACAGTAATATCATTGTTAATTACCTTAAAAAAAATTTTCTACCAGGGTTGTGTAATCTGAGTGTTCTAGGTGAATGCTGCATACTCACCAAAGATGGTAAATTCATCATAGATATAAAGCTAACTCAATATAATCATGGATCATAATGGGAAACTAATTTTTCTGTCCCCTGTTATGATATATTGTGCCAGTTCTTCTGAGATAGCACTGCACACCCCATAGCTAGTTGTATCATAGGGCACAAGGCAGATGGCATGACAAAAATAAGGCTGAAGGGTGAGTGACAAGAAGATGCATGTATAAATTCGGTGAAAATTCATTAACTGAAACTGATTTTCTTTATAATAATTCTGTCCTTGCAGTATCATGATATAATCTGGTCGTAAGTTGTTTTCAAATCTAATAATGCGTACTCGGAAACAAAGATTAAGTCGGGTTGAATTCTGGGGCTGTTGATGTAACAATATCAACTATTGTTTACAGTACTAAGCGAGATCATAGAATAGTTTACATTTCAAAGAAAAAGAATAGAAATGATGTACAAGTGAATTAAGTAAGTAAAATTAGCTGGTGCTTTTATTTTTAAATTTATGCATAAGATAAAATTCATCTATTTTGCAATATATACAGTTTGTAGAATATTAGAAATTTAGTTTATTTATGTATGAGAATTCACATCATTTGCAATTTGCAATCCGTACTATGTATAGAAATAGCTTAAAGTTTGCATGTTTATTTTTTATTAATGCTTA